CCAAGCCTGCAGTGCCGTTGTCTCCGCCGCCTGCGTCACTCCATGTTTTATGCGCGGTCCTGACCTGCCTGCTAACGTTGTACCGCAGGCCAAGTTGATGACTGAGGTGGAGCGGTACAGCTCGTTGCTGCAGGAGAAGGAGGCTCTTAACGAGAGGTGGGACCAAGTGGGGTGGTCCAAGGGAGGGGGTTGAATGCACATCAAACCCTCAGTGTGGGGCTGTCGGGGCTGAGGGAGTGGATTGGGTTAGAAACGGGGGCCAGCAGGGAGGGGCGGCCATAACAATTTGTGCAATTGGAGCTAACACAGGCAAGCCTGGCAGTCCGCAAGTGCAAAACCCACAGTCCACCAGTCCAAGAGCCTGCGATGCATGCAGGGGCAGCCGGCGGCTTCCTGCATGCAACTTCTGCTCTCCGAATCTTCATTACAACACCCCCACCCATTGCCCCCACTGCGACGGCCTGGGCCGTGACGAAACGGCTGAACATGCTCTGCTTGATTGCCCCGCATACGCGGACCTGCGGGCCGAGCCGCGCTTTGCGCCCTTGTTTGCAAATCTACCCGCGCCTGCGCGCATGCGCGCCTTTGTGCCCAGCGCGGATCAGCACACACTGGGGGCCTTCGTGCACGCCTGCTTTGAACGGCGCACGGTAGCCACCTGAATCTCAGTCACACAACGCTGGTGCTTCACTGTACAATCCCATGAGCCTGGATGTCTCCAGGAGCGGGCGACCGCGGGACGCTGTAACAATCCTAATTCTAATCCTAATCCTCCTCCTGAATTTGTGGTGGCGCAGGTGGGACGAGCAGAACGCTCTGCTGGTTGAGAGTCATGAGCGCGTCATTGCAGAGCTGACAGAGGAGTACGAGGTGAGGGCCGGCTGACTTTGCTGCACGAATGGGTTCGACCTCGATGGCAGGGGGAGGCGCAAAGGGAGTGAGGCTGTGGGGTGGGCGCACGAGAGCTGCACGCCAGCGGCACAGCGAGTGGAACAGGTAAGGCCGTGGGCACCGACCTCGTGGTGCTTGTGGTTTGCGCGCACTGGACATTTTTGCCAGGCCCATCACTCTGGCGAGGGCCTGCTGCGCCCGCCCTTTCATCAAGGTCGCAACTTGATTGACCAAAACGCAGGCCAAGCTGGCGGAGGAGGCGCTGGCCAAGGAGGCGCTGAGGCAGGAGAAGGAGGGCCTAGAGCGCGAGTTTGCAGAGGTACGCGGGTCGAGGCCTGGGCGCTGCGTTTGTCTATTCAGCCCTGGGGAGGGGCGGGCTGTTGAGGGCCCGCAGGGCCTGCGGCTGGCTGCGCGGTCGTGTGACAGTGCTGCGGGTCACACTGGCCTTGCCGTCTGACCCTCAGCAGCGGATTGATCACAAGTCATTATCCAATGTCATCGGCCGTCGTCGGCAAGCCCACACCGCTTCAACAAGTGCTCCCTCAACAGGAAAACCTAGCCCCACTCAGCCGGTCCCAACCAAGCGCACCCTCACCACCCGCGTGCTTTGCCCACGCCGCGTCGCGTCTCGCCGCGTGATCCCACACCCCACCTGGTGACGTCATGCTACGTCACTCCAGGTCAAGCGCCAGATGGAAGAGGACGCGGACTGCGAGATTGAGGACCTCAAGGAGACCTACGAGCAGAGGCTCGGCGCCGAGAGGTGCGCATGCACGCACGCGTCCCCGGCACGGCAACGCCCGCCATCGCGTTGACGAGGTCGCGTCCGAGCGTATCACGAGAGCGGCGCACCTGCGCGTACCGCAAGCGGCGCGAGCTGCATGCCTGGGCTCCGTGTAGGCGACACCCGCGCACATCCAAAACGCGCAGACGACCGCTGCGACAGAGGAATACCCGGCTGGGATCTTGAGTTGACTCAAGGTTGCTTATGTGAATGGGATTTCTCATTTGAAAGTTGCCTTCGTGCTGTAATGAGGGCGTGGGCGCTCATGCCGCTGAGCTCAGCTGCCGCATGCACTGATGCAACCGCCCTGCCCGCTCCTTGGCAGGGAGACAGCCCTGAGGCTCAAGGGCGAGAATGGCATCATGCGCAAAAAGTTCCAGGTGAGAGCTCTGGCCGCACAGCCAAACAGCTTGCGCACGAAACCACGCGTCTGCGAACGATCAGAGTTGGGAGCTCTGTTGTTGCAAGCGCCAAAAGTCCAGCTGGTAGCTGTCACTCGAGGGGCCGCAACCACCAGCAAGCGCCCCCCTCCAGCCGTGGGACTCGCGCCACCTGCGCCCCCCCACATGTGACGTCATCATGACGTCATCATGACGTCATCATGACATCATCCCATCTTGCAGGGGCTTGCCAAGGACCTGGACGAGCAGAGGGAGGCGGTGGCGGCGCAGCATGAGCAGCAGAAGGACCTCTATGCCACCATCAAGGGTGCAACG